GGAGGAGGAGGAGGAGGAGGAGGAACAAGAACAGAAGAAAGACGAGCGCAACGCATCGCTGCAGGCATTGCCCAGTGACTTGTCTGGGACTTCTGTGCGAACGAAGCGCGCGCGAACGGGGTTGGAAGGAGATGGGCGGATGATTGGCAGACGCCGAGGTGGAAAGCGCGGCAACGTGGGATGAGGAGGGCAGAAGGGGAGAACAGCAAGGACGGAGAGGAAACACGAACAATGAAAGCGAGTGGGAACACGAATCGGAGCAGGAAGGGGATCAGGATAAGGGCCGTCGAATCGAACCTAAGCGCGAGCGAAGTGCTCTGCTTAGCTTGGCATTGACATGCGTTGGTGTGTGGGTCCTTGTCGGTAACGCATCTTCTCGGCTCACGTTCCTGTTGCTCCTTCAACTCAAGTTCAAGGCAAGTTTCGGTACCTCCGTGCGTGCAGCTGTGAGCTCGCCAAGGACCATGGCATGCTAGAGCCAAAGCGCGCGAAGCGCGCGCGTGGTGTTGGATATGTATATACTCCAGATTTCATAATAAGAGGGAGGGGTCACAATCATCCCAGACAAGAAGTTTTAGACCCTCCCAGACTATACATGAAAGGGCGGCCCTTTGCCCAGACCCCCCCGAACCCTCCAAGACAGCTCAAATTTGAGCCCCCCCCCCCCCCCCCCGAATGTGACCCCCCCACTTTGTTATGGAATCCGGAATATGTATCTATGTGTGTATATACATGTTTGACTTATGTCCATATATATATACACACATATATATATATATACATACATACATACATACATACATACATACATTCATACATGCATGCATACATACATACATACATACATACACATATATGTATATGTATATGTATATATATATATATGTATGCGAGCCCCCCCCAACACCCCATCTTCGACGTATTAACAAGGGATGGGTGAAGGAAGGTTGTCGTTGTTTGTTGTGGTTCGCTGTTAATGATTTCTTTGTTTCGTTTTTCATCCTGCTGTTTTGTATAACTGTCCATTAAAAACTCTCGCCATTCCACGCATGGGCTGCATGCGCTCATCGGGTACTCACATGTATACAGTATAGCAGGCCAGCATGACCGCAAATGGTCAACATTGCCGATGACAAAGAGGGCTCGCGTGGTGCTACATTTTTCTGTAAGGTTGCACGAAAGTACCAGTGCTGTTGCGTTACAGGGCAACCGCACACGGAACGCGCATAATTACTATAGCACGTACGCCAAGACTGCACAAACCATTATTCTAGCAGGCGTACACCATTTTGAATTCATAACTGAACGTCTCGCCTGTCGCCGCCCACCAATCACATCCTCGGTTCCAAAAGCACCACTGTGCAGAACAGATCTTGTCCCGCATAATCTTGCTGTTAACAACTTTCTGGATCATCACGTGTTTGCGCACCTCGCGCCAACAACGGTCGCTCCGCTTTTCACCCAAACCCTTGTTGACTTGATCTTTTCATTGTCGGAGGGCATCGAGACGTCGTGGTATCGCACCTTTCTGGGAATAACGGTTGGAGCCGGGTCAACTTGCCATTTACGTGCGCCTTCTTTTACATGTGCACAACCCAATCGTGCATCATTCTTCGAACTTGCAGTTTGTGGGATTTGGCGCCATTGATGTGGAGAATGACGGAGCGGTCCTTGCGCCACTTAGTCGCCAGTGGGCACCAATCTCTTTTCCTGATTGGGCCTGGGCCTGGCGCGCGCCGCTTTGTTTTTTTTCCGGCTTCAGCTTAAGAAGCACAAGCGAGCGCGGGTTACCCCGTTGGATCATCCCACCCCGTTGTTGCCAGATTATGCGGCGATCTGAAGTATGCTTTGTGGGGGGATCTCTTTTTGTGAGGTCGACCTCTTCTGCCTCCACATCGGCCCAACGTTTTGGTATGCCAGATTTAATGGTCTGTTTTGTAACCAATACATTTTGGGCCCGAGAGCCGTAAAGATTTGCGCAAGTGCTTTCAATGAACTTGCGATTCTTTCGACGGAGCAGGTCCACCCGCTGACGGCGCAGAAAAGGTTGGACGCCTGAACAGCCAAGCTCGTATGGGAAGCCCACGTAGCCGCACGAAACACTGGATGGAAAGAGTGAGGCATCACGTGGCGGCGGCAACCGTGCTTCCCGCACCTATAGCTCCAACCGCCCTTCTTCGGCCCGAAATCTTAGAGCGGCCCCAGCACGCGAGCGTTGCAACAGGGGCATGTTGCTCCCTTCCACTCTGGCAGCATGCGGTCTTTCCTCAGCTTCAATATAACTTTCTTGATTGGCTTGTTGACGAAGTCCTTGGATACGTTGCCCAATGAGATCGACCGGGCCTTGATATCGACGTGAGGGTGCCATGTCTCACGTATGGAACGCTCTTTGGCTTCTTCTGTGGGTTCGCCGCTGCCCGCTTTGTCTTTGGCTTCTTTCGACAGGGGCGCATCGCCTGCTGCCTCTTTCCTTTTTTGGGCGCGGGCCAATTACCGTGCCTCTTGGCGACAGGTTTGCCGCCGCACGAGCACGTCCTCGTTGCCACACAAGGACACGCACGAAGCTGAGCTGACCTGTGACACCTCGAAGATAGTCTGCATCCCAGACACTGCGCCGGCGATGATTTTCTCGGCTTTTGCACTGTAATCGGCCCTGCACTCCCGCTACGGAAGCTGACGACGGCGCGTCCGCCCACGCGCAACCCGCATGCGTGGCCGTGCCTAGGGTGGCAACTACTGCGAGGGTTTCGGCGGAAGGGCTTATGAGGATTAAAACCAATGCGCATGAAACACGATGCGAGGTAAGGATGCACGGGCCTTGAAATACCGCGTGGGCGGTTTTCGAAAGTTCAACGCCTGAGGGCGCGTTGCAAACCTTGTAAATGAAAGAGTGCCCTTGGGACGTTGCCTATCCTTCCTATGCGCGTTGCCTGCAAGCTCCATTTGGAATCTTTTGCGCTGAGTGAGGCCGCGAATTATGTATGATGACGTATTGAGCCGCACTAGGCGGGAACAGAAAAATCGCGATTGAGCCGAACCTGGAGCAAATGCGACATCAAAAAATAATCTCCCAGGAGTTGCGCCCGAACGTTCCCGTCGTCAACCACGAAGCGCCACAAAGGAATCCGATTGAATGCCCCCACGAAAGGAGTCCGATTGAAATTCGCCACGTATGGAATCCTATTGTAATCCCTCCACAAAAGGAATTCCGTTGAAATTCTTCGCAACATGAGTCCCATTGTACTCCACCACAAAAAGGAATTCGATTGACATCCTCCACATAAGGGGTTCTGTTCTCAAACTCTACAATTGGAGTTTTTTTGTGGTAATCCTCTACACTTGGAGTCCCATTGTAATCCGAAGTTCCTAATTGCAAGTACCTCGGATGTGTTTGGTTTGTTTTGCTTTGTTGTTCCTCGCTTTGGTTTTGGCTGTCCTGGCACGGAAGCTCTATTTCCAGGATTCCCAAAAATATGTTTCTCTGGTTCTCCGCATTGGTTGTTGCTGTCCAGGCACAGGGATGGTCAAGGCCAGCCAGTACATTCCCATGGCGCCCAATTCCGAAAACAGGTTTATCGATCTCCATCGGCCTTGAGATTCCCTGTGCTTGGACAGCAAAAACCACAGCGGATAACAACACAAACAATTGATTGAACACCTTGGAAACAGAGCTTCCCTGTGCCTGGACAGTCAAAACCAACGCGAGGAACAAACAAAAAAACGAGGTACCTGGGAACCTGGAATTTCAGGGCTACAATGCGATTCCATTTGGAGAGGATTAAAATAGGGGTCCTTTTTTTGTGAAGGATTACAAAAGGACTCCTAGCGTAGATGATTTCAATAAAACTTATTTTGTAGTGGATTTCAATAGAATTCGCCACATCAGGAATTAAGATGTAAGCCTTCACAATGAGGAACAGGGATGCGCCACAGACAGAGAGGGAGACAGAGTATGCATGATAAGAAAAAGAGCACACACACCAACATGTACAACGTGATTCATCAACAAAAACGATAGGATGGGGGGCTGGGGGGGTGCTACCACACGCACACACATCTATATATAGAGAGAGAGGCGCTCCCCAAATACAGATACCTATATATACTTGTATTCCTATATACAAATATGTACATGTATTGGTTGGTGACGTCGTATGCGGGGTCAACTGCCCGACGGCGAAACAGTCCACGCGCCAAGCCACACCGACCGCCAGTCGGCGCGGCAAGCATGCGACGGCCGAGGCACGCGCGCGCCGGCAGCAATGATATCGGGCGCAGGCCGCAGGCACGAATGTCATTGGTGGATCGGCAGCCAGGTCTATGAGCATGTAGAGCTATTAGCGGCTCGTTGGAGATATACTAGTTCAGTCATACGTAGGTGTGTGCAAACTACGTTGTCTATCAATATCATATGCACCTGTGTTCTACTTGCGGGGAGTCAGGTGTATGGTGATGCCCACCTTCGGAACACATAGGCACCATGTGTAGAAGCACAGGTACGAATAGATATAGTAATCAGGTGGGTGATCGGCGGGTGGTCGTGGTGTATCTAGTAACCGATATGCGTTTTGTTCCGCCGTATCCCATGGCTTGTCCATCATCCACGTCTACAGGTTTAGTGAGGCGAGGCCTGTTATGGTACACGCATGCTTACCCAGGCTTGCGTTTGAGAACGTGTCCCTACCCACACGCACAAACAGAAACATTCACACCTACACATGCGCGTGCGCATTCACAATGTAGTCGTGCCTGTGTGTTTGCAGATATCGTGGGTGATCGTGGTAGAGGCATAGTCGCTCGGTGGTTGAGTACAGATGTATCGTGGACAGAGATCACCCGAATCGTGGCTCTACAAGTGCATGTTCTTCTGAAGCTCGCCCTTCAGTTGGAAGACCACATGTGTGCTTACATCTTCATTTTCAGAATGTGCTTTTCCCTTCCAATATGCAGTGTAGTACTGGCTGTTACGCAACATCGGGGGGGGAGGGTACGAGCCGCAGGACACGGGCGCAACTCCAACTGGCGAGGAGACGGACGAGGACTCCGTTTCTCGGGGTTTGAACGGGGTTTGTTGGCATGCGCCGGCAGACAGGGCCGCGTTGTTTCCCGTCAGTGGCATGTGTTTGTATTTCTTCTTCAGCTCCTCCTGCTCCTCACCCTTCTCGGGTGCATCCCACACGGAAGAAAGGAAGTTTCCTTGTGCATTAGTTTTTCCGCCTCCTGTCCGAGCCGAGACGCTACGGCCTGGCATTCCCGCAAGCCTCGTTGGTGGGGATGTTGCATACACGGCGCGAGCATATTGGAAAGTGGTGGGTACCAAAGCGACATAGACGCTCAGAAAGGTGTGGGGCAAAGGGTTGGGGGAGGGGCAGCTTTCTGAGAAGGCCGCCGTCCTCGCCATCCTCCTCTATGTGCCGCCGATCGTATGCGGAGCTTCCTCTTCATGACCAGTCCTGGCAGATTCCATCTCCTGCCCATGCGATGTAGATGACAGGCAGATGATGACTCTATCGGCCGCTCGAACCCTGGATTCCCCATCCAACGGCCACCGCGACAAGCATACGATTGCAACGGAAGTGAGAGTGCTTATCAAACATCGGCACAACATGCACACCGATTAAAACCAGCCTGCCTCCGGATACTCAGCGTGAACTTCTAATTTTTCCCTGGTGGGTCTGGGGGGTCACAGAAGTTTCGGGCGCACCTTCGTTAGTTCACGAGATCGATGACAAGAGTGCCCACACATGCTTCGGAGACGGATGCCTTCTTGTACACGCGTATATGCGGTTGCAGTCTGGCAGCGGCAGTTGCAATGGCGTGGGCCTAGACCATGAGCATGCCAGTGGTCGTGGCCGTCGCAATCAGCACGGTGCCCACATGCTAATGCCCACATGCTTCTCTTGAGCGCGCACCCGACTGGACAGCTGCAACCACGGGGGTGGCGCCGTCTGCCAAGCGGTGGCCACCGCGCCCCCGCCGGGAGCCGAAGGGGCCACCGGCCCGGTGGCGAACCTGCCCGGGAAACGCCCTGAGGAGGGTGAGGGCGGCCGAGACGATGCCAGAGGACGAGGATGGTTCGGGGGCTGCTCCAGGTGCCCCTGGGCCAGGGTGCCCCCGGCCTTTCGCTCAATGTTGGAGCCCCTGGGGCCCTCCTGGGCCTCGTGAGGGGTGTTCTGGAGGCCGTGGGGGCCTCCTTGGAGGTCCGGGGGGCACCTGGGGCCAGGGGCACTTTTTCTAGACAACTGGCAAATACCGTGGTGTGTATCGGCGGCATGCCCAGGGGTGAAGGCGGAAGGGGCGCGCCTGCCCCTAGAAGGCTCAGGAGGCCTCCAGCCTTGTGAGAGGCTCTCCGAGCTTGCGCCCAAGCAACGGGAGGGCTCCTCCTCCTCCTCCTCCTCCTCCTCCTCCTCCTCCTCCTTCTCCTCCTCCTCCTCCTCCTCCTCCTCCTCCTTCTCCCCCTCCTCCCCTGTGGCCGCGGGTGCCGAGTGCCTCACTTCCCCCCCCCTCACTTCCCCCCGTGGCGCGCCGCCGACGAGGGCCCCGGCGGCGACCCGAGAGCGTAAGCGGCAGACCCGGACCTCGGCGGACACCGCAGGCGCCACGGCCCAGAGGGCACGGCCCTCTCCCGGGGCGTGGCGCTCCGTCCGAGGTATCCATGTTGAAGTCGGGCCTGTCCCTCTACAGGAGGAATGTTCAAAAATAGTCAAAACATAGTCTGGGGACCATTTGTTGGCTATTCTCGAGCATGTTTGGAGCATGTCTGGGGTATACTTAACTTTTCGCCCAAAATTTCCCCATATGGATGGCAGGCCCGACTTCAATCCGTGTCGGAGGAGCTTCAGATCGAACAATGCCCAGGTCGAAAGACAGCATCGTCGGAGGTCTGGGGGTACGGCAGGTTCACGCGGCGCTGGCTCGCTAGCGACGCGAAAGCGTTTCAGGTTGAATGCTGGGCCGCGGAAGCGCCGATGGACACGGGGCCCCACCGAATTCAACCTGGAACGGTCGGGGCCGCGGTCGGTTCCAGGTCGAACACCCGACGCGGGGTCGAACAACAATTTGTGCGCGCGCCGAAGCCGCACGAAACCACACCGGTCGAGTGCGTGGGCTTCCGCTCGCGGCCGTGCTTGAGGGGCCTGTTTCCCACCACCACCATGAGTTGGAGGGAGTGCTCATCCTCCTTCTCCTCTTCGTCGTCGTCCTTTTTTCCTCCTCCTCTTCGTCGTCGTCGTCCTCCTCTTCGTGCTCCTCCTCCTCCTCCTCCTCCTCCTCCTCCTCCTCCTCCTCCTCCTCCTCCCAACTTATGGTGGTGGTGGTTGAAAACAGGCCCATCAGTGCTGGGACCTCGTCCTCGGCCTGGCGTGCAGGGTTGCGCCGCCGCCGGGTGGCCCCCGCGCCCCTTTCCACGGGGGCAGGGGCGGCGGCGGCCGACCGGAGGCAGGGCCCGGTGCGCAGTGGAGGCTGCGAGGAGGGCAAGGACCAGTGACTGCTGCCCCCCTCCCCTCCAGCCTCCTCCTCCTCCTCCTCCTCCTCCTCATCATCCTCATCCTCCTCTCCTCTCCTCTCCTCTCCTCTCCTCTCCTCTCCTCTCCCCTCCTCCTCCTCCTCCCTCCTCCTCCTCCTCCTCCTCCTCCTCCTCCTCCTCCTCCTCCTCCTCCTCCTCCTCCTCCTCCTCCTCCTCCTCCTCCTCCTCCTCCTCCTCCTCCTCCTCCTCCCCCTCCCCTCGTCCCTCCTCCAGCTCCTCGCTCTCGCCCTCCCGGCGCCCAGAACGAGCAGGAGATCACCTTCGGCCCGTCAGCGGCGCCGCTGCCGACCTTCTGCTTCGAGACGGCGACGGCCTAGCGCGGGCCCGCTCCCAGGCTCCGGGTCAGTGTGCGAGAGCGGGGCGCCTTTGCGATCTCTCATCATCCAGAGGAGGAGGAGAAGGAGGAGGAGGAGGAGGAGGAGGAGGAGGAGGACGAGGAGGAGGAGAAGGAGGAGGAGGGGGAGGAGGAGGAGGAGGAGGAGGAGGAGGAGGAGAGGAGGAGGAGGAGGAGGAGGAAGGAGGAGGAGGAGGATGAGGAGGAGGGGGAGGAGGAGGAGGAGGAGGAGGAGGGCACACGCACGCACGCTTCGCGGCCGCTGGCCGAGGGAGGAGGGGCGAGAGGTTACAGTCTTACTTGCCTCGATACGCCCGTTTTGAAACGCAGCACGTCCCGTGTTCAAGACTTCCGTGTCAATACGTTGCAAGTTGGCTCGACGTATTGGACCACGTTTGGGCGAATGTATTGCGTCGGACCTACGCTTTCAGCCTACGTCTTGAGCTCCGTATCAATATGATGCGTGTTGCGTATCGGGGCAGCTAAGGTTACAGTAGGCACGCCGGTTAAGGAATCTGCCTCCCAGCAGGTGGCCCACGGAAATGTCTGATTCCCCGGTGGCCCCGTGGAGTCACAGATGTCTTGGGACCCCTTCGGCAGATGACCAGATCGAAGACACTTGTGCTGCTACTTATTCCTCGCATGTTTTTCATCGTTGGTACCTCCTGTAGTGTGGTGGTTGGTGTTGAGCACCGAGGCTGCGTGCCTCGCTGCTCCAACACAGGGCAAATCAGTGGGCGCCAGCGCACAGAGCACCAGCCATACAGCACCGACCGGAAACTGGCGACTGCGACACAGGGGGCCAACCATATGGCAACATGCGTGGGACACCGACCAAGAGCGGGCGACTGCGAAGCGGATGGCCAAACCTAGGGCACCTATGCAGATGGCACTAACCACAGGGCGCCGACCGGGAACGACCGACTGAGCCACACAGTGGCGGTTCCGCGAAGACCAGTCAAAATCGCTAAGTGCAAGCACTGCCTGGGGAATGCTGGTGGCGTTCGAAGCTATGTATATATATATATATATACAGGTCTATTTGCATGTGTATATACATGTATAGATCGATGCATGTGTATATATACACACATCTCTGTGGGTATATATATATATACGTATAGATGTATGTTTAGTCAGTTATGAGTATTTAAAAAATCATTGATATAACGCTACACTGGTAGATGGGTAGCGTCTTACTTGGTAGGAACGTTGATTCGCTCGCTCACCATGCAGTGGTGTAGGATGTCGATTGCGCATCTTGATTTCCTGGCAGACGAAGACCCACTTTTGAACGAAATCATATATATATATATATATATATATATATATGTTTTTTTTTGATTGTTCTCTCTCTCTCTCTCTCTATATATATATCGATCTCTTTCGCTCTATATGTATTGATTTCCTGACCATCGCCGTGCTAAAGCAAGGTCCCGAGCGGGCCCTCTTCGGGGTCTCTTGAGGCCATGTTCAGTTAACCTTGGGGACCTCGAGGGCCCTCTTGGGGCTGTCCTGGAGCGGTCCGGGGGCCCTGTTGTCCTGCCTTGGGGCCCTCTTGGGCCGTCTGGAGCCCCTCCGGGGGCACTTTCGAAGCGTCTTGGGGCCGTCTTGGGCCCTCCCTGGGTCGTCGTGCGCTCGTTTTGGGGCCCTCTTTGGGCGCCCATGGGGCCATCTTGGAGCGGTCTCGGAGGCCTCTTCGGCCGTCTCCAGCGCTCCGAAGACATAGAATGCGAGTATGCGAGCACGGCGCCGAAACCTGAGGAAAGCTATATTTTTGTTTGCCCCCTGGGGGCCTCTTGGGAGTCGTCTTCAGGCCCCCTTGGCTCATCTGGGAAGCCCGTTGGGCCGTGGTGTTGCCATCTTGGCACCATCTTGGGCCATCTTGGGCCTATTGTGGCCGTCTTGGGGCGCTCGCCGGGCCCCTCCTGAGGCTTTCTGGGGCCCCCCGGGGCCGTCGTCGGACCGTCGTGGGCCCCACTGGGGCGCTCGCGACCCAGACTCCCCGGCCGCACCCGAAGTTGTGCCGGATCAGTTTGCTTTGGATAAGGGAAGTGGCTGTATTGTTCAGGTAGACATGGGCCCCCCCCCCCCTGGCAGGGGTCCACATCATCCCTCCTCTCATTCGTCTCGTCCACTGTTTCCTGTCGAAGCCTCTCCCGCATGTACGCGTAGATGTGTATGTATACGTATGTGGATGCATGGGCAGATGTAGAATTAAAGGAAAAGGAAAAACAGGAAGAGGAGGAGGAGGAGGAGGAGAAGGAGGAGCAGGATCAGAAAAAACAGGAGGAGGAGGAGAAGGAGGAGGAGGAGGAGGGGAACGAGGAGGGGAAGGGGGAGAAGAGAGGAGGGGAGGAGGAGAAGGAAGAGGGGGAGAGGGGAGGAAGGAGGAGGAGGACTCTCTGTGGAGGAGGTTCACGCCTGAGAGGATCCAACCAACTCAAACAGGATGAGGCTCCCGCCTGAGAGGTCTCAAAGTAACTGGCCCACCCCCGCCAACCACCCAGTCAGCGCATCTGGGGCAGCGGTGTCGGTTCTCCTCTGGATTTTTGGGCTCTTGGTGTTGGTTTGGGGCAGCTGCAAGGATGAGCGGCATTGTGTTTGGGCTTCTGTGTGTGTGTGCGCGCGCGTGTGTGTGTGTGTGTGTGTGAGTGTGTGTGTGTGTGTGCGTGCGTGCGTGCGTGTGCGTGCGTGCGTGCGTGCGTGCGTGCGTGTGTGTGTGTGTGTGTGTGTGTGTGTGTGTGTCCGTGTGTTTGTGCGTGTGTGTGTGTGTGCGTGTGTGTGTGTGTGTGTGTGTGCGTCCGTGTGTTTGTGCTTGTGTGTGTGTGTTCGGGGGGGCCTCTCAGGCGGGAGCCTCCTCCTGTTTCTGTTTTTGTTGGGGGGGGTTCTCAGGCGGCAGCCTCCTCCCGTTTGATTGTTTGGGGGACCTCGCAGGCGGGATCTTCCACACCAAGGTTTGTTGGGGATCTCTCAGACGGGAGCCTCCTCCAGTTCGGCTTTGATTTAGGATCTCTTAGGCGGAAGCCTCGTCCACAGAGAACTGCGTTGGGACCTCTGTCGCCGGGAGTCTGATCCCCAGAGAGTTGTCTGGGACCTTTCAGGCGGGAGCTTTCTCCCCCGAGAGTGTTTGCAGGACCTCTCGGGCGGGAGCCTCTCCCTCTTCTGTTTGCTGGGACCTCTCATGCGGGAGCCTCCTCTTCAGTCCTTGTTGGTATGTCACAGGCGGGAGCCTCCTTTCCTCCAAGGTTTTGGGGAGCCTCTCACTCGACAGCCTCCTCGTCTGACGTTTGGGCGTCTCTGGCGGGCACCACTTATGGCTTAGGTTTGGCGGGGCCTCTCAGGCGGTAGCCTCCCGTGGCCACACTCGATGTGTACAAGCGGTGATGGTAATGATGATGACGACCGGGGGGAAGAGGAGGAGGATGAGGAAGGTCCAGAGGAGGATCAGGAGGATGCCACGTAGAGCAAGACGGATCCTGGTGGTAGTGACGATGGATGAAGATGCTGATGAGGATTGTGATGGTGATGATGCTGATGCTGATGTTGACGACGATGATGAGGATTCTGATGGTGATGGTGCTGGTGGTGGTGATGGTGATGATGCTTACAAGGTTGGCTATGGTGGTCATGTTGATGACGTTGATGCTGCTGATGATGGGGATGGTGATGGTGATCAAGATGATGATGATTATACTGATGATGGTGATGGTAATGGTGATGATGTGGACAGTGGTGGTGACGATGATGACAGTTATGCTAGTGATGATGAGGATGATGATGCTGATGGTGACGATACCGATGGTGATGGTGATGATGTGGACAGTTTTGGAGGCGATGCGTGTTGTGATGGTGATTCTGACGATGACGGCGGTGACGATGATGATGTTGTCCATGATGGTGATGCGGACGCTGATGATGATGCTGGTGATGCTGATGCGGATGCTGATACTGATGATGCTGGTGCCGATGATATGTATGATGATGCTAGTGTTGATGATGATGATTATGATGGTGATGATGATGATGATGATGATGGTGGTGATGTTGTTGTTGTTGTTGATGATGGTCGCGATGGTGTTCATGGTGATGCTTATGATGATTCTGCTGATGGTGATGATAAAATTCTTGGTGATGAGGATGATGAGGATGAGGATGATAACGCGGATGATGATCATGTTGATGATGGTGATATTGATTATGGTGGTGTTGACGACGATGATGCCGATAATGGTGATGATGACGATGGTGATGATGCTGACGACGACGGTAAGGTTGTTGATGCTGATGGTGGAGATGGTGATCATGATGATGTTGCTGCTGATGCTGCTGATTGATTACATAGGCTTACGTCGCATCCGCCGACCCCTATATAAACTATTGCGCCTCCAGGACTGCATTTCACGAGGCTTGCCCGAATCATGACACGACGCTCGACGTCGTTTCTGTTGCTTACTTGTTGTTATCGTACCTCTTGTTGCTCTTCTGTGGCCTTTTGGTGGCATCTTGGCCTGTCTGCAGGCCATCTCCGGCCGCCTCGAGGCATCTTGGGCCAAGTTTTGGGGTCTCTTGTGGGCTTCCTGGGGGCTTCTTGGAGGCCTTCGAGGTTCTCTTGGTGGTCCCTCAGGTCCTCTTGGGGTGTTCATGGGGCAGGCTGGGGACGTCTTGGGGCCGAAGGCTCGAAAAGGTGCCCTCTGGACTCCCTCTTGGAGCCGTCTGGGGGCCCTCTTGGGGGCTTCGTGGGCTGTTTTTGGACCCTCTTCGACCCCTCTTGGGGGCCCCTTCGGCCGTCCAGGGGCGATATTGGAGGTTTCTTTGCCCGTCTTGGACGTTGTGAAAGCCGAACAGGCGAGTATGCGAAACATTCAGTTTTTTTTCCCAAGGGGATGGGACGATTTCTGTTTCTTGGGGCCCTCCTTGGACGCATCTTGGGGGCCTTTTGGGGCGTCTTGGCAGCTTCAGAGGCCGTCTGGAGGCTATCGTGGGCGTCAAGGAGCGATATTTCGGCGACTCCTGGCCCTCTGGGACCGTCTGGGGAGCGTTGT